CGCGGGCCGGGGGCGCCCTTCCTCCCTCCGCGCCCTCCCGCGCGCTCCGGGGAGGCCCCTGGCCCCGGTGCTCCCGCTCCCGGGACCGCTCCCCACTCTCTCCACGCTCTGCCACCCTCCCTTCCTTCCCAGTCGCCCCGCCAAGCCGCTCCCCATTGCTCCAAGCCCGTGCCCAGAAAGCTCGAGGGGCCCGTGCTTTAAGGACTCCGCAGGGCTGCAAATCGGCGGCGCCCCGGTTCTCCCCGCCCAGGCCCACCTTCTGTTTACTTTGGCCACGTGGGCCGTGGAGGGGGCCAGTCTTGCCGAGCCAAGAGGAGTTGTGTCTCTGAGCCCTTACTTGTCACTCGAAAGAAATAAGCCTGCAGTTTCTCATGTTCAAAGTCGCCCCCGTAAGTTCCTCTATTTTGCACAAATTTCCACTCGTACGGTTAAGTAATGAAGAAACCGCCTGTGGGAAGCTGAATTCCGAACAAGCGGCGCTCAGTTTTCCCTGAAGTTCAAGGCTTGTGCACACCAGCATTTCTGTGGGCAGTTTTCTCTTTTCTTGCTGAGTCGTTTTACTTACATTTAAATACCCCTTTTGGTAATCATTAACTTCTTGAAGGTGAGCTCCAGACAAACTCATACGATCATGAGATAGTAGTTTAGAGAATGAGCGCACACACATACCCTCCCATCTTTTAAGTTTTCACACCACTGAAATTTAAATTTTAAGTAAGTAATTTGGGAACCTCTACTATGCAATCACAACAATCTTATGTCAACTTTAATCACCCTAACGTGATTAAGGGTGTGTGTGTGTGTGTTTGTGTGTGTGATTTCTTTACAAAAGAGCTTACCTGTATTCACAACTTTTTCTGAGGCTGATGCCAATAGGATGATTTGAGTCAGGGAGTTCTGGGTCAGCCTTAGCGCTTAGTCAGTCAACTCAAAAGAAAAAGGCAGAGTAGTAGGGTAAAGGTGCTTGCCTTGCAAGCCTTTGGACATTAGTTGAACCCCCACCTGTGTAAAGGCAAAAGAAATTACACAAAAGTAGTCCTCTGACCTACCTACACACATGTGCTGTGGCATAAATACACAACTCTCAACTCTTTCACTCTCACTCTTATACTCACACACACACACACACACACACACACACACACACACACACTGCATAAGTTTTGAAAAGTAAAAGATCAGACCTGTAATCTTAGCTCTTGAAGTCTGAGGCAATAAAATGTCTGGGAGTTTGAACCCAGCTGCTGGGCCTTGTATTGAGATTGTCTCAAAAAACAAGAAAGAACTGTGACACCTTCCCTTAGTTTTGTGACATGGAAACACTTCCTCTTTGTAAAATGTTCTCATGTATATGTACACACACAGGCAAGGGCAAATCCAGGAACTGTGACACCTTCCCTTAGTTTTGTGACATGGAAACACTTCCTCTTTGTAAAATGTTCTCATGTATATGTACACACACACACACACACACACACACACACACACACACACAGGCAAGGGCAAAGCCAGAAAATGTTCTCATGTATATGTACACACACACACACACACACACACACACAGGCAAGGGCAAAGCCAAGAACTGCATGTGTCACATTGTTACCAAGAAGAATGCTCAAAGTAAGTTCTAAGGAAACAATGTCTCTTCCTTTTAGAAACAATCACCAAGGCATGATCTCACAAGTCAGTAATCAACATTCATCTGGGCTCCACCTGACTTCTAAATTAATAATAACAATAATAATATGATTGTTGTTAGTATTATTATGAGGCTGGGTTCCACTGTGTAGCCCTGGCTCATTTGGAACTATGTAAAGCACGTTGGCTTAGAACCTTGCCTCCCAAATGCTAGGATTAAAGGTGTGTACCAGCTAACACACACATACACACACACACACACACACACACACACACACGCACGCACGCACACACACACACACACACACACACGGTTTCTCTGTGTAGCCATAACTGTTCTGGAACTTAGCCATAACTGTTCTGGAACTCACTATGTAGACCAGACTGGCCTCAAATTCAGAGATCATCCTGCCTCTGAACTGGGATTGACATGTAAAACAATCTTGTTTCTAATTCAAATAAAAAAAATCAAGAAGAAGAAGAAGAAGAAGAAGAAGAAGAAGAAGAAGAAGAAGAAGAAGAAGAAGAAGAAGAAGAAGTCAGATTCCAGGAAACTGGAGTTATAGATGGTTGTGAGCTGCCATGTGGTTGCTGGGAACTGAACCTAGGTCCTCTGCAAGAACAAGTGTTTCTTTTTCTTTTTTTCTTTCTTTCTTTCTTTCTTTCTTTCTTTCTTTCTTTCTTTCTTTCTTTCCTGCTTTCTTTCTTTCCTTCTTTTTTTCCTTTCTGTTTCTTTTTCGAGACAGTGTTTCTCTGTAGCTTTGGAGTCTGTCCTGGAATTGACTCTGTAGACTAGGGTGGTTTTTAACTCACAGAGATCTGCCTGTCTCTGCCTCCCAAGTGCTGGGATTAAAGGCGTGCACAACTGTTCTTAAACAGTGAGTCATCTCTCCGGTCCCCCCTTTTTGTTTATTTGTTTACCAGGTATCACCAAGAGTTCGTTGAGTTAATGTGGAAATCCAAAACTTCCTACTAGTGACCAGGACTAAAATAGCTGAGCTATTCTTGTTGAGACTCCCTCCAAGCTGGAGTCATTCTCAGATCTAAAGTTTGGCAGGGACTGCCTCAGTAGCCTCAGCAGATGTCTACAGTGCCCCTAGGAGCCAGCTTTGGAGTCCGAGGAGTATCTAGGCACAACTGCTGTTCTATCCTGTCTGTCCAAGGATGTGTCATTGGCATCTTCACAATTATCAGTGAATTTTAAAACCCAGAAAGATTCCCTGCAATTCATCTTGATTTGAATGTGAAGCTCTACACTGACCACAGCATACATTTATGTAGTGCTTAGTGTCACAGTTGCTGGAAGTGTGGGCTTAGGAGTTGAGCAGACTTGAGGAAATTCTGCCTGGGTCTCTTATAGTATAAACCGGGGCATGTTACATGACTCTTTGAATCCTGGGTCTTTTATTGTATGAACCTGGACATGGTACATAACTGTCTGCATTAGGGTTTTTTTTGTTGTTTTTTTTCAGCCCTTAAGCACTATAAAACACAGCACTGTTATAAGGATTAACTAAGATTCCAAATATGTGTGTGGGCACTTATTACTCTTATCAGGAACAAGCCATCTACTTCCAGGGGTATTTGTTGAGTAACTGTAGGAATATATACATAATTATATGCCTTTATATACTTACTAATAGATGGGAAATCTAATGTTGGTATGTATTTTTGTGTGTGTGTATGTGTGTGGGCCAGAGTATATGTGTGTGTGTCATGTACATGGAGGTAACTGCAGAGTCCAGAAGAAGCATTGGATTCCCTGAAACTGGAGTTACATACAGGCTGTTGTGGCCTGGCCACTGTGGATGCTAGCTAGGAGAACTCAGGTTCTCTGCAAGAGGAGGAACAGCAAGCATTCTTAGCTTCCTGGCCATCTCTCCAGCCCCTCAAATATTCAAATAACCCTGGCCTGGCCCCCCACCCCTGCTTCCTGGGTCTCAGTATGTAACCTAAACTAGGCTGGAACTCACCATGTAGACCAGGCTGGCCTCAAACTCAAAGAGATCTGTTTGCTCTACTTCCAAAGTGCTGGGATTAAAAGCATGGTATATATCTGATATGTCTGTAAATTCTTTTATTTATATTAAAATTGGTCAAAACAACTTTAAGGCCATCTCCTTGGTTCATCTTTTAAAACCTCTATCACAGCAGGTGTTTCTTGTCTGTCTGGAAGTGTGTTTGGGTTGCAGTTGCTTTTGCAAGAGGCTCTGAACATTTTCTTGCCAAGTTCTTTCTCTGCATCCACACCCACCCTTAGCCACCATGACATTTGTTAATTTAAAAGAAAATATATTGTTCCTGTTGGCTACTGTGACATCCCATCAGCAAAATGAAGTGAAACTATGAAAGTCTGTAGGTATGCATTTTTGTTTTTTTCAGATTTTGGTTTGTTGTTTGAAGGAAGCCTCCTTCCTTAGCTATTTCTGGGAAAGGAAGGCTCTAGTGTGCATAATCACTTGTTTACTGGCATGAGGGTCCATCTGTAGGAGCAATTCAGAGCCAGTTTTTGTGCATTTTATACATTCTTGTGATCCCCCCATAGGTGCGGCTAATCTGGCTTTTAAAAGATAATTTACTGTTTTAACAATGACCGATTGTTATCAAATCCTTTGCTATTTCTCTAAAATGAGAAATAAGAGTGCTTCTACTATGCCACTAACCCCTTGCTTCCTGGTGGAAGCGGGGAGCCACTAATAGAACAAGCTCCATGCCATGCTATTCTGTGTCAAAGAATTGGCTTGGTTGGCCTGAGCATAAGCTGCCTCAGTCAGTTATTCCATCTCCAAGCCTCATTCATGGAGGAGAGGCCATTTTCTGTCTGCTGCTCCCCACCAGAGAACTGCCTTACAGTGCAATGTATTTTTTGTATTGTGTTGGTAACGATGACAATCCCCAACAAAAACTAGGTACACTCTTGGTTTTCTTCCTGCCTGCAGTGCAGGATATTGTTTCTTACACATTTGACTTTGCTCTTCAAGAATTATGCTACCTACAGCTTGAGAGAGTTACAGAGATTTCAACGAAACATTCAATCTTCCCTGCCATTTCCTAGCTCTGCAAACATTTTTCCTGAGCTATAACATGGTAGAGGTTTTTCTACATTCTTAAAAGACAATCAACCTTCAGAGGACACAGCACTTTTGCCAGGAAGTAGCTTTGCTCTCCTTCCTATCACAAGAAGGCACCTATTTAAATCAACATAGAGAGAACACTAATTAGAAGATACTGCCAGTGATAAAACATTTGCACATAGCCCCTTAGGGTAAAGATATGAATTATCTATAATGATAAAACCATTGTTTTCTAAAGCCAAAGATCATATTATAAGGACCTACATAGTCTCTTTTCATAGTGTGACCAGTACTTATTTTTTTCCTGAACTTGTTTGATGTGGTTTATGTCTGCAGCAATGACCCATACCCCTGCCCCAATTCTGTTAAAATATCACAAGAGATATTATGGAGAAACCATTAAAATCATTATTGGGACAAATATTAGGGAACTTTTCCAGAGATATTGTAAATGTGTTCCTAATATCAGTCTCCCATAATTTTCAGAACTTAAAAAAAATGATTTCATATAACTCAGATGGATTTGGAATTTTCATGTAACCCTGGCTGGCTTTGAACCTAAGTGCTGAGATTACAGGCATGTGTCTTTTTTTTTTTTTTTTTTTTTAAGACAGGGTTTCTCTATGTATAGCCCGGGCTGTCCTTGAACTCTCTATATAGATCAAACTGGCATCAAACTCCTCAAACTCACAGAGAGATCTACCTGCCTCTGCCTCCCAAGTGCCATCACACCCAGTTTTGCTTTCTTTTGAGATAGGGTGCCACCATGCAGCTCAAGTTGACTTTGAACTTACTATGTAGACCAGACTGGTCTTAATTTTGTGGATTTGTGGTTATTCTTCTGCCTCTGTCTCTTGAGTACTGGGGTAACAGCTATGTACCACCACATCTAGAAACACTGGTAAAATGTAAGACATGTTTTCAGTATCATTGGTCAGAGTGAATCACATCTTACTCTCCTTCATGTTAGCAATATTGAATTCAAGGTTGTATGCAAGACTACTTCTTCATCTTCTTGATTATTTCTTCTATGTATTTGTTCTTTTGCAGTCCTACTTGGCAAAATTTGGCTTTTTGTTCCAGTATCTTCACAGAGCCTTTGTCCGTCCTCATCCTAGTGGAAAACACCTTGCAGGGTAGAAAGCCCATGTGGACATGTGAACCATCAGCCTTTTCCTGCTGTTTCTTTGAAGTGTAAGCCTGGACCATTCTCCTAGCTTGCTGCTCTTCTTAGCCCCTTGTCTTTTCTCTGCTTTGTTTTGTTTAGGTTGTGGGAGGTCTTAGATAGGAGTTCCCTAAGGAACCCAGGCTGCTCTTGAACTTGTGATCTTCTCTCAGCCTGCCACGTGCTAGGGGAACTGACATATGCCATCATGTCTGGCTTCTCACCTCTTCTCATGAGCACAGATCAAGAGTGCTGTACTTTGGGAAGATGGGAAGGCAATCATCTTGCTTAAGTGGGAAGGTGCTTGGAATGCCTTTTGTGGGGCAGAGAGGTGGCTCAGGGGTTTAAAGGCTTCCTGGTCTTTTAGAGGGTCAGAGTTCAATTCCCAGGCACATCCTTCCCCCAACCCCTGCCTCACAGTATGCTCACAGAAAAGAAAAATAAAGTCTTAATTAAAAAAAAAAAAGTGATACCTTTTATGGGTTTTGCTTTGGTCAGAGTCACAAAAGGATTAACTTCACTGATGACCAAAAAAGGCAAAATTGCCCCTTTGTTGTACTCCTGCCATTCCTGTCAAGCAAGGAAGTTAGAAGGTGGAAAGAGCGCCCTCTGCTGAACTTGTTCGCGAGACATGGGTCCTTGGAGACGCCAATTGGAAAAAAAATCAGAACCACCTTCGGAGCTTTGGGAAGAAATATGTGTGACCAGAAGAAATATGTGAAATACTCCAGTTCTGGAGGTCCTGAGGAGAAGCTCATGGGTTGGTTCTGGGGTGAAGGTTGTACATAACCAGACCTTTCAACAGATTTGTAGGAGTCAGACATATAACCACTTGAAAACCACTGGGATCGCTCATCTGTGTAACTGTAATAAATAAAGGCATTTAAAAGCCAGTTGCGATGGCTTCCCTCTCTAATCTCAGAATCTGGGAGGCTGAAGTAAGAGGATTTTGAATTGGAGTCCAGGCCAATCTGGACTACATCAGTGAGGCCCAGTCTCCAAAGGGAAGCCAAGCAACAACTAAACAAGACTAATTTTAGGTCCTTCTTAGTTAAATTATTTCCTTTACTATTTCCCTATACTCTGAATGGAGAAGATATAAAAATCCAAAGGCAGGATATCATTATCTGATGTACAATTTTTCTCATATATTCTACACTGTTTGCATGTTTTCTAGACAAGTGTGTAGAAAAGCTGATGAGACAGACTAGCTGCCAGCTCAGAGCCCATGGATGTTAGAGTTTCCTCCAAGGCTGTGCACTACCAAGCTCTGCTACATTTTTCCCCCTCATTTTATATCTTATTTTGTTTTGTTTTGTTTGAAACAAGACCTCTAAGCAATGGTGGTTTATGCATTTAATCTCAGGACTCAGGAGGCAGAAGCAGGGGAATCTCTTCAAGTTTGAGGCTAACCTGGTCTACAGAGAGAGACAGGGCTTCTCTATGTATCCCTGGCTAGCCTGGAACTCTCTATGTAGACGAGTCCAGCCTCAAACTCAGAGATCTGCCTACCTCTGCCTCCTAAGTGCTGGGACTAAAGGTATGTGCCACCACCATGCCTGGCCTCTCATTTTAAAACTTAGATCATAATGTTATTACTGTTTTGCAGGAACCACTTTGATTTCTCAGTAAGTAGGCATGCCTCTACGTTGATCATGATGGATAGATAGCCTGTGGTCTTGCTTTTTCACAACAGCTTGCATCACCCAAAGAATGAATTAATATCCAAGCACTGATCACAAAATAGAGGCCCATAACAGAAAGACTGTGAAAGGTGAAAAGAAACACATTTATCTGTTAAAGTAGGATGTCACAAGTCATACTGAGAGTATTCCCTGTCCCTAAGTTTCACTTCTCCTGAAGTCTTCAGGTTGGTGGTCTGACTGGGCAGGGAGATGTAAGGAACTGCAGCAGACAGCTGTTTCAAAGGGCTGATGTCACCGGGACCTCACGAATGGTAGGCCAGTGCTGCATTCCAACCAGTGCACACATATTTTAGAAACTTCCCTTGCTCTTATTCTTGTCTCTGTGTGTGACATCTATATGCAAACAGGTGAATGTGATTGCCAACATACGTGTGGAGGGCAGAGGACACATTTTGGAGTCAGTTCTTTCACTCTGCATTCTGGGGATCCAACTCAAGTAATTAGACTTTCTTGGCAGGAACTTCACAGACTGAGCCATCATGCCAGCCTGAAATGGTGTATTTTAACAGACAGTAGATTTTAATGAGGGAAACTTTCCTGAACCACTCACATAAGAGAATGCCTGGAGCCACTGTCTTCTAGAAAGCAGGAACTAAAAAAGTCTATCTAGATTGAAAGTCTGGGGAAATGTGACATTATATTTTTTGTGTGGGGGGGTTTCATGGTGGTGAGGTTGACTATTGAAGGTACAGACAACATGAACTTTAAAACATAGATATTTGAGACACATGAAGTAGTACATGCCTGTAGTGCTAGGATTTGGGAGGTTGAGACCAGAACATTGTGACTTTAGGCAGCTTGAGCTGCATAGTAAGTTCCAGGACAGTCTGAGCTGTAATACCTTACCTCAAAATTTTTTTTCTTCAGAAAATGGTATTGTACACCTGCAATCCCAGCATGTAAGAGACTGAGCAAGGAGACTTGCTGCAGGTACAGGGCTGGCCTGGACAAGATACTGTGTTTGAGGAACCCTGGCTTACAGAGTGAGATCCTATCACTAAAACCCAACAGGAGCAGCAAGATGGCTCTGGGAAAAGATGCTTGTCTGTTACCAGATTGACAACTTGAGTTCAAACCCCTAGAGCCACACAGTAGAAGGAAGGGACAGACTCTCACATATTGTCTCCCAACTCCACTCACACATCATAGCATGTATACCACCCCCTGCCACAAAATAAAATAAAATGTAATAAATAATAAAGTCCAACAACAACAATCACCATTTTCTCTTGGGCCACACATTTACTAAAATGAGAATATTGAAGAGATAATAAACATGGCATATGTGCAGAGACTAAATACAAACTTATAACCCATTCCATGTTTTATTAAGATACTGTTCGTGTATACAGCATGAGTGTGTGGGTGCAGTGGTCAGAGGACAACTTTGTGGAGTTGGTCCTCTCCTTCCACCTTTCTGTGGGACCCAGAAATACAATTCTGATTTAGCAAGTGTGGGTAGAAGCACCTTTGCCTGCTCAGCCATCTTGCTGACCTGCATTTTATTTTATTGTTTTATTGATACTGAAGAAACTGAGAGAAACTGGGGGGTTGGCGAGATGGTTCTGCAGGCAAAGGTGCCTACTACCAAACCTGATGACAAGAGCTTGATCCTTGAGACCCAAAGAGTGAAAAGAACTATTGCAAAGAACTCCCACATGTTATCCTTGGACATTCACTGAGTATGCCATGGCATGCCTTAGGGTGTACACACAGACATACACATGCATACATATACACACAAACACACACAGTTTTAAAAATGTAACTTTTTAAAGAGAACCGATAAAAGCACACCTTTTGAAGATTCAAACTCAGTCTGCGGCAGATCAGTGACAGAATTCAGGACTGTAGTCTATATACTCTGCGGCTGACAAAGTACCGGAAAGACTTTGCTTAGCCCTTTCTTTTTCAGTGCTGGGCAGGTGCTCTACTGCTGAGCTATGCTCCTTACCTCTGCGGTAATCTTTAAAGTAAGACTGTGTTGATTCCTGTCTACTGAATTTTGTTTTTTAGCACGAGGAGACTTGTGTTTAATGCAAGCAGGGATGTGTCAAAAAGATTAAGTAACTTGTTTCGGGTTGAACAGCAGGCAACACAGTGTTCAGATTTGGTCTTCAGTGTTCTTTTATGTGCTGAGTCTCTCATTCAGGTATATGATGGTGAAGAAGCTGTGTTCCTTTGCCTAGAGAGATTCTATGCAGGAGTGGGGAAACAGGCTTGCAGAGGGGTTAATACAAAGCACTGTAGGCTGTGTGGGAAGAGATGCACTGGTGTGCCATAGCTCAGATGCTGCAGCCTCAGAGAAAATTCCCCATGGCAGTGATGTTCAGACAGATCTCAAGAATAAGGAAAGAACTCCAGAGGCCAAATGTGACATGAGAGGAGAATACTTCATGAAGAGAAAGACTATGGATAACATGCTCATAAGAGAACAGGATGTACTTGAAGAAATTAATTCCAAAGGACTTTCAGAGAAAATCAAGCCAAGTGTTGGGGTGGGAGTGAGGCTGGCCTGGGCTATGTAATGAGTTCAAGCCCAGCCTATGATACATACAAAACCCTGTGTGAAAAACAATAACAACACCACCAACAAAATAGGTCCAGCATGGTACACACACCTTTAATCCCGGTACTCCAGCAGCAGAAACAGGCAGGTGTTGGAGTTTGAGGCCAGTCTGGTCTACAGAATGAGTTCTAGGCTATCCCATGTTACAAAGTGAGACCTTGTCTACCCTCCAACCACCAACCCCAAAAGGAGACCAGACATGGTGAGTCATGCCTGGAAGACTCACCAACACAGAAGAGGCATAGGCAGGTAGTTCTCTATAAGTTCAAGGTTAGTCTAGTCTATACAGTGAATTCTGGACTAGCCAGGGCTATCCAGTGAAACCTTAAGAATAAAAAGTTTTGGCAAAGGTTGAGGACATGGCTCAGTGATTAAAGTAATTAATTGCCTGCATGTAAGGAAGAAGACCAGAGTTTAGATCTCCAGAACCCATATAGATCCCAGGTGAGCATAACAGCTCAGCTGTAACTCCAGCCTCAGACAGTGGAGACAAGATATCCCCACAGCAAGCTGGCTAGAGATCAAGGTAGAAGAGCAATTGAGGAACCTCAAATGCTGTCTTCCCTGTGCATGCTCATTTGCATATGCATGTGTGTCCCCATACACATCAACATATACACACATAGGAAAATAGAAAGGGGGCAAAACAATAGGAACAAAAATGGATTTTAGAGAAGAAGGAAATGATCAGATTGGCAGATTTGGAATATGGAAATACTTCTATAGCTCCAGTGAGATGTGATAAGTATTTTTAAAAATTCCTGGTTTGGGGCGGGGGTTCTCCACTGATGCTATAAGACAAATGAGTGGGTCTGAGGCAGAGCTTCCATTTAAACAAGATTGCGTGGAGAATACATTGAGACGATGAAAGAGCAGGGAGGAAGGTTCAGTGGGTAGAAGTGTAAACTGGGCAAGCCTGACCACCTAAGTTCCCACATGAATAGCCGATGCCGCGGCACCTATCTGCAGGCTTAGATTTCTTTGGACACAGGAGAATTGTCTGGAAGTTCACGGCCAGCTAGCCATGGAGTAACAGGTGCTACAACAGAAGCAAGAAAGACACTGTTTCAACAGGATGGAAAGTGAACATCAAGGAGACACTAAACACTGGCCCTCAACTGGAAGGATCTGGAATCATTGAGGAGACAAACCTCTGGCTGGGTCTGGGAAGGAGTTTCTAAATTGGGTTAATTGCGGTGGAAAGATTCACTTCAAATGTGGCTAGTCACAGCCCCCGTGTTAGGGTCCTGAACTAAATAGACAGGAGGAAGAGAGTGGAGCACCAGCGTCCATCTCTCTCTCTCTTTCTTCTTCCTGACTCCCAGTGCAATGCGAATCAGCTCCCTCAGTTCCAGGCTGCCATGCCTTCCCCACTGTGCTAGGTGGGACCCTGCGCTATGACACAGAAATGATAGGTTCCTTCCTTTCTTAAACTGCCATTGTCAGGTATTTTGAAATTGGGTTAATTGCGGTGGAAAGATTCACTTCAAATGTGGCTAGTCACAGCCCCCGTGTTAGGGTCCTGAACTAAATAGACAGGAGGAAGAGAGTGGAGCACCAGCGTCCATCTCTCTCTCTCTTTCTTCTTCCTGACTCCCAG